TCACAATCTCCCTCAAAGCTAAGGCTTTAGGTAACTATAGTAGAAGATCAAAACCTTGGGCTTTAAAATAAAGGTTGGCACAGTCGGAAGATGGGGGTTGGTGACAAGCCCACTCCTTCCTATGGGTTCCTCAGAGAACCTGCACAGGTGTGAAGACGAGCCTGGCTTAAGCATGCATCAGCCTCTTCCTGAGAGTGGACGGGCTGGCACTGGCAGGAGGACAGAGGCCAGAGAGCCAGACTGCAAAATGGCCTTATGAGGTCATTGTTTCCAATGACAGAAAAACGGACCCATCTTCCTTAAATGCTCAAAAATATGGAATTGATTACAAAAATTGTGATGTACCCACAAAATAAAGACAGTGCAGCTATTAAGATTATGTTGAAGAAGAATACTTTTATTAGAGTAAATATAAAGTTTCCCCCAAAACTGGCTATCTTTAGGCATTGGAATTATGAATGATTTTTATTTTTCTCTGTGTACCTTAACCGCCCCCCCCTTGCCTTGACCTGGCACTAATTAGGGCTCCCTGTGTCTTCTGCTTCCCAGGGGAGTTAGAGGGGCATCTTCAGAGGGCACCGGAGGTGATCTGCTGTCCTCTGGGAGAGGGGGAGGGGTGGGACATCAAGAGTTACCCTGAAGAGCAAAGGGCTGGTCCTGAGGGACAAGGATCCTTACATGCTATGAGGGAAAGGGGGTGGCAACACAGCCAGTGAATGGCCCTCAGTGGCCAGGCACAGGGAGCAGACACTCTGGTGGCTGGTGAAATTCCAGAGCCAGGCRGAGGCCAGCGTTCTCCCCCGCCCACCTCCCTGGTGCAGCTTCTGCACCATCTGCTCAGGCACACCCAGCCTTCTCCACCTCAACCAGAGCTCCAGGTGGGGGGCAGGGCTGCTATGTGCTCAGCTTTGTGCTTCCTTGAGCTTAGCACAGGGCCTGGCTGGTATAATATAGAACAAATGGATGGATTGATGGACAGACAGACCGAGAAATGGGTGGGTTTAAGGATGGAGCTCTCTCCCAATCACCCACTTCCATCTCCATTTGCTGATCCTCTACCTCTCTGCAGGTTCAGATGCCTCTTTCTTCAGCCCTTGCTGGGCCCTCCAGGCCCCCACTGCATTCCACAGTGACCTCAGTTACACACCTTAGCAGTGTATCTGATACCCACATCATGGGACTCTGAGCTGACTTCTTTTATCAGTGTATGAATCATAAAGGCAAGGTCAATGTCCTGCCACTTCTGGTTCTCCAGTGGACCCTAGAGCCCCAGGACTCGGCACCTAGGAGCCACTGAATCAATATTATGAAAGAAAAGTTCTCCTCCACCCCCCCACCCCACCCCCACTGCCACAGGCTGCTTGGCTTCTGGTTGATGAATATAAGGGGTTGTGGGGGGCAGGGGGTTAGGGGTTCCTGGCACCCCTTCATCTGCTGAGAGAGAAAGATTCCATGGCCCCAGGTGCATCTTCACTCCCAACCCCATCCGCTAATTCTTTTTATTTGCTCCCAGTCATGGTCACGAGAGGACCAGGGGATGGGAGAGGGATGGTGTGACTCAGCCCAATTCATCACCACAATGGAAAAACCCAGTCACCTGCCCTCCTGGCAGCAGGACCAGAGCTGCCTCTGCCTCTGGAAGGGCAGCAAGCCACACTGTTTTCAAGGTCCTTTTGTCTTTCACCTGCTGGCGGAAAAAATCAGAATGAAGCACTGGTTGATGCTGAGGATTTACCGCGTGCTGCGAATCTCCGTGACCAGAGACAGGACCAGGGACCACATGTCCCTTCATGCCAGACTCTGAGTTAAGCATCTATGTGCTTCGTCTTCTGTTTCACAAGTCCATTGTTATCTGAAGTGGGCACTGGTCACTTTTTGGCTACCAGCATCTGACATGGCCTTCCTATGACACAGTGGGAGCCCACCTCCCGCTAGAGAATCAGAAAAGGCCCCTCCCCTGCCCTCCTTGCAGCTGTGTTGGAGGATGTGACCTGGGCTCCTCCAATCAGAAGTCCCACTCAGCACTGTGAATTAGAAACTGGTGGCAGGAGGAAGCCCAGACCACAGGGGATCCATTTTGGTGAAGACAGTGGCAGTGGCGGCAGTATACCTCTAGTCTCAGAGCCAGCTGCTGTCCAGATGCCCATGTCCAGTGTCCACATCTGTAGGCGGCACCAGCTGCAGCCTCTGCACCCAGGAGTAGCCGTGGTGGTTTCAATGCCAGGCCAAGGCTGCAGTGTCAGGCCTGGCTCCTGAACCCCCCAGGCCAGGTTGAGGCGGGGGTACTCCCAGACCCTCCTTTAAAGTCATTTTCTGCTTAAATTAGCTGAAGTAGGCCTCTGTTTCTTGCAGCTAACACCCTAACAAATAAATCAGCTGAGTTTACAGACGGAGAGGGGAAGGCTCTCGGGAAAGGCTGCTCTCACCTCCAGCCTAGGTGCAGGCCAGCCAGACTTCTGCCCAGTTTACAAGGCAGCGACATTTAAAGCATCTTTTTAGGAGCTGAAAGCAAAGCCAGGGGACCCTTCTGGAGAGCCCCTGGTTTCAGGCAACAGCTTGATCCTCTGCAGTGTTCTGCTTTCCTGAGTTTTAAAAAAACCCACCATCCGGCCTGTCCCAGACAGCATGTCTCCCCCACAGGGAGAAAGAAGAAGAGAGTCCACCACACTGGGATTGCAACTAGCCCCTTTTGTTGACTCCGCAGTGACCCGTTTTGCCTGGCATGACTGCCTCCTTCAGAAGGAGCCACGCTGCCCATTCCTGGAGCACCTACCTTAATGCAATAGCCCCTGGGTCTCTTCCGGTTCAGGTTTCAGAAACCTGACCCACAGGAAGGCTCACTTGGGGTTCACAAATTATCCAAGCCAAGTAGATTGTCTACCCGAGGTCAAGGCTATCCCAAGGGCTGCTTCTCACACAGACAGACATGACATAGTGTCGAAGCTCTTAACAGGCAGCCCTTTATATCTTCTGGGGTCCGAGTTCCCCCAAGGAATTCAGAACAGGCAAGGCCTCAGGAATTATCTCGCTAGAACCCCAACAACTAGTTTTATCCAATGACTAGATCTTAAATTACTGAAAAGGATAGAACTCAGGAATCTTTAATGTAATCATGTCGGTCTCACCACCAATAATAATCATGACCATTTATTGAACACTTAGAACAGGTGTCTGCCTTCATCGTGCACATTTTCATCACATTTCAGCATTTAATTCCTCAAGAATACTCTGAGGTCAGCATTACTCCAATTTCATGGACTGTGACCTGGAGGATACCAAACCTCAMACAGCCTGGAAATTGTCCACCCAGCCCGTGCTCTCATGGACTGGCTCCTGACTTTGATGTACAGAACCACAGYCTAGTGAAAGGAAGAGGTTTCAGAGACAGAAGCTTCTTCTGGCCACTGACYTCCTCCTAAACCCTTTACAAAGGAGGAAAGTGAGGCAGGGATTTCCCCAAGGTGCAGAAGCCACACTTGCTGCCTCCTGTGGGTTTATATGCTGCACCCCAAACTGGACAAAGCTGTTCAAGCAAGGACATTACCTCTTCCGGAGCCACCAAAATCTTCCCAGGTCTTCAACTGGAGGATGGGTTAATTCACCAGGGCCACAGTCTGCCCCAACAGGGCCCACAAAGGTCACCAAAGGGAGAGAGGGTGCTGTAAGATCCTCTTGACCTTCTACCCCATYGCCATCCTGGATTCCCCAAATTACCTAGTCCAACACTTTTTGCACCCTAAAGGTCTGGAATTCAGGGAAGGGCAGAACCAAGGTTACTGTTAGAGCCTGAAGAGAACTTGGGTCCTCAGGAGCCCTCCTGTCGAGCTGTCTGGCCCAGATTAATTTTGGAGGATCTTTCCTATTTCCTAGAGTTGAACTCCATCCAGGGCCTCTGACCCTCTTTTGGGGGGTCGAGGGCGGTTCGCACTGGACCCAAGCAGTGTGAGGCGGAAAATGACTCTGGTCTCCCTGTTCCCTCTACCTGGGGTAATGTCAGGTGAATTGAGAACAGAACCTGGTCACAAGCTCTGGGTGGGACCCTCAGAACCCAGGTTTTTACCTCGAGCTCTGAAAACCCAGGACTAAGTATGTCGCAAAGAACCCTGAGGCCCCACTTCTTCCCGACCCTCCAGGGCTTTTCTCCAATGGTTCCCAGGCGGCGGCGGGTGGGGCCCGAGGGRCAGGGGTGGGGAGGGGAGTGGCGGCGGGATGTGGGGAGTCCCTACAGGGCCTGGAGTTCAAACAAAGACAGAAGCAGAGGCCACCCTCTCCCCGGGAACCCGACGCCTCGCGGTACTGGGGAACAGGAGGGGCGGCCAAGGCCTCACACGCACCGCACCGGGCAGATCCCCAGCGGCCAGGCCCTTCTCCCGGTGCCCGCAGGAGGTGAGAAACGGGCGGGGGATTGCGGATCGCCGGGGTCTCCGATAGGTTTGCGTGTCGCGGCGTCCCGCTGGCCCTCCCACCCACACACCCACCGACTGATCGGACGCGCGGGTCAAGATAGGAGGCGGAAGCTGGGCGCCCGGGACAGCCGCCGGGTTCGAGTCACCAGGCCCCGCGCGCACGGTGGGCCGAGCGCCCACGCCCACCACACCCAGTGGGCACGCCCCGCGGCGCGCCGCCCTCGCCCCAGGCACCCGCGGAGGGGCTTGCGGGCTGCTGGCACCTGCACAGCGCGTTGGCGGCGGCGCCCGGAGGCCCGGCTCCCGCCTGCGCGTCTGCCTCGCTGGCAGCACCCTCGGTGAGTCGCCGCGCCCTCGCCCCTGCAGCCCCGGCCTCCGCTCCCTTTGCTATTGCGGCTGCTGCGCGCGCCCCCAGCCCCAGGCTTACGAACCCCGCATAGTCTCCGGGGGACCCCATTTCGCCTACGCGAGGGCGGTGTCCGTCCTCCCCACCCCACCCCGGCTCGCGTTCCCCGCCGGGCACCGGACCCCAGGGGGCCACCGCCCAGTAGCCTCCCGCACCTCCCCTACAGCGACGCCCGGGGGCGGCAGGTTTCTTTGTTCGGGCAGCGGGCGCAAGGGCCCCCTCCCGTGTTGTCACCCGTATTGTCACCCGCACCCACCCGGTGCACTCCATCCGCCTCCTGGAGTTCACCCCGACCAGGTGGCGGCGGGCGCCTTTTGGGGGTGCGCGGCCGTGCAATTGGTGGATTTTTTTAAACCTTTGTGGAGGGGGCCGCGCGGCGTAGGGGGCGGCGAGAGCACTCCTGGCTGCGGGCTGCTGCTCCTGCCTGGCTCCGGCTCGGCTCCGGCTCTCCAGCTGCTCCTCTCCGCGTCTTTCGCGCGCCTCGTCGCGCCCCGGCTTGGCCCAGCGCACTTCCCCGACGCAGCAGCCCGAGCCGGGCAGTGCCGGGCGCCGAGATGAAGGTGCTGGGACACAAGATCGAATTGCTGGCAGGTACCGCGACCCTTCCCCGCGGCCGCCCTCGGCGCGGCCCTCGCTGCCCGCTACTTTTCTAGTTGGAGYGGGCTCCGGGAGTGGTGGCAGGGTTTGGAGAGGCTCGGATCCGAGCAGGACAGGGCACCATTTAATTCAGTTAATAGCTAGCTCGGGTGCTACCTGTTCCTAGGCGGAGCCTGGCCCCGGGAGAGCACCTGAGGCTGCGCCCTACCCGGCTCGGTTCTCTTCTGAGCCCTGCTGCCGGTGGAGCGCGCGGCGCGCGGCGCGATCTCTAGTCTCATAGGAGCGGACCCTTGGGGTCTCGGACTGGTCGAGCTAGGGTCAGAACCCCGAAAGAGAGCCTGAAGCCCCAGGCCGCCAATTAATGTCGCTTATCCCCAAAGGAAGGAGCTCTCTGGGCTCCTGGCAGGAACCATGCTCAGGGCCTCTTATTTCCTGCACCCTGTGACAATCTGAGCTGCTCTTCGCTCTTCTCTGGGGTGAGAAGTTTCTTGTTGGGAGTAGAGGACAAGTGACTTGAAAAGTAGAAAGCCAGATTGGACCCTAATGACTGGGACCTCTTGGATTTGGGGCCCCTGTGGAGAAGCGACCAGATGCCCTGCTGGAAACCCACATCCGGGGGCAATGGTTGGAGTTCCACTGCCCAGAGCAAGAGGTGGGGAAGAGAGCCAGGGCAGGGGCCAGCGTCAGAAGCGTAGGAGACAGTCCTAGGGGGGAAGTGCGGTAGCACCTGGGCTTCTCTGTTCTCTCCAGGACAGAACTAGACCCACAGCAGGCGAGGTCCAGTCCAGACCCCACCAGGCTGGGACTTGAGGTGCTGAGCCCATGCCTGTTAGATGAACACATGGAAGGGACACGTTCCAGTCGATGTCTTCTGGCGCTCCAGGGGTTTGGTCCCACCCTGGAGACCCTTACTGTCTGGGACAAGAGAATGAGGACAGGACCCTATTATAAGGTGGGGAAGGGACAAAAATCTGTGGTTGCACTTAGGAAACAGGATGAGGCCTGGGGCTAGAGGGCAGAGGTTAAATGTGGCAGCCTTTGAAAACACTAATACTGAATTTCTGCTCTTGGGGAGGGAGTTGGGATTACAGGCCAAACGACTGAAGGAACTGGTCCCTGCCTGGAGTGTGAGAGAGACTTGCTTTGGGTGTGGAGTGCTGTCTGCAGGGCCTGAGTGTGTTGGGGAGGGGAGGGAGGGAGATAAGGTGGAGGGAGTAGGATGGGGGAGGTTTGGGGCTCTTAAACCAACAGCAGCCCCTGACAGCTCATAGAGAAGGGACTGATCCTTGGGCCCTGGAACCTCTGGGAGCACCCACCCCCAACCTTGCCAGCTGTTTTTTTTTTTTTATTGGTAGGCCTGGCCCAGCAACTTGGATGTTAAGTCCCTAGAGGGAGAGTTTTCATAGTGCCCTGCATGGAGAACAGACCTGGATGCCCTTCCTCCTCCTCCTCTTCATCCTGGAGAAGAAATGATAGGGGAGTGGGGGTTTTAGGGGTGTCCATGTTTTGGGGTCCCCATACAGTGTGCCCTCATCTCAACTGGATGCAGCAATCAGGATCCCTCCTCCATTATCAGGTGGGCTCACCAGGTTCTGGCACTTTCTAAGACCCTGGCCAGGCTGGGGCAGGACCCTCTTAGTCTCTATCATCTGTCACAGGCTCCCAGTGCACATCTACACCAGGCCTGGCATCAGCACATCCCCTCCAATGCAGTTTTGTCTAGACTTCCCTCTCTCCGGCCCCCTCCTGGCCTCTTCCTTGCCTCACAGATCTGGATTCCCACTCCAGCCCCCTGCCAGTCAGCTGGGTGATTTCGGACAGGTTGCTTAACCTCTCTGACTTCGGTTTTCTCAGCTTCAAGATGGAACTGTTGACCCTTCCATATCTAAGAACTGGTGTGAAGCCTGCTGAGACAGTCCAAGTGGCACACATGATTGGGACCTATGTCCTGTGGGCACCTCTCAGGCTTTGTGTCCTCTCTGGTTCCTTCATCTTGGATCTCCCCCTAATGGGGCTCTCCACCTGCCCTGGCTGATTGGCTGCCAGCAGCTCTAGATATGCCCCCACCCTACTTTATTCCTGTCGCRTGCAACTAGGAGAATTTGATTCATCCCTTTGGATGACAGGCAGGTCACAGGCAGGATGGGGTCCATTTATTGTGGCAGCATACAGTAAGTGCTGAATAGCTGTTGACCCAGTCTGAGCTCACATAGCCCCACTCGTCAGCTGCACCTGAGGGAGGCTGTGAAGGACCTCTAACTCTCTGCCTCCTGCCCTGCCCCCATCCCTTAAAAAGAAAAAAACTCATATGGATTTAGCTCTTTTTCATTGTTTTCCCATTCTATTTTATTATGGTGCCCACTTCACCAACGAGGTCAGTCACTCTGTCATGTTCATACAGCTGGAGAGAAGTTGGCTCTGAAGTCAAACCCCAGTGCCAATCTGGAGTGGCCCCAGGCTTCCTAACTGTGTTGCCTGGCGTTGGGCCAGTGTTTGTTGTTGTTGTTTTGGTTTGGTTTGGTTTTGGTACTGGGGATTGAACCCAGGGGTGCTCAATCACTGAGCCACATCCCAGCTAGTGTGTGTGTGTGTGTGTGTGTGTGTGTGTGTGTGTGTATGAAACAGGGTCTTACTATGTTGCTTAGGGCCTCCTTAATTTACTGAGGCTGCCCTCAAAGTTGCAATCCTCCTGCCCCAGCCTCCTGAGCCACTGGGATTACAGGTGTGTGCCACCATGTCTGGTTTTGAAGCTTCTCCACATGTCATTTCCCTCACCTGTAGTATGGGATATGTGTGTCAGGTCTAGAGCCATACCACCCTGAATGCATTCCATCTCAGAAGCTAGGCAGGGTCGGCCTGGTTAGTAGTTGGGTGGGAGAATGTGTGTCAGATGTTGAGCGTGGCATCTGGCAGGCAGGCGGTAAATGGCATTTGCAGGGCCATGATCCTTGAGCTGCCATCACATTATTCCAGGATTTCCTCCTCTGCTTTGCTTCAGGATCCAGAGTCTCCTCCTTCAGGGTGTCCCAGTTCCTCTGCTGGGTTCTGTGCACAACCCAGGCCTCTCTGGATGTATCTCAGGTTTGCATCGCRGGCTGGAGTGGGCCACAGCATCTGGGCCCTTGTGTCCCACCTCCACAGCTCTGAGAGCAGGTGTGAGAAGCTAGGTGTCCCCTCATGGGGGACCTGGAGGGATGCCCACATGCTGTCCTGCTCAAGCCCAGCATATCTTTTTGTTCTGGAGAGAAGGGGCAGCGATGGGGCCATTCTGAGGCTCCCCTGATAACGAATGCCCCTGAGGCCTGCAGTTGCCAGACTCTGGCAGGATCTTGCTGCAACGGGAACAAGGAAGGTGGTGATCTTGCCATCAGAGGATGTGACTCTCAGGGTCTCCTCTCTGCTTCTGAGCTCCTGGGAGAATTCTTCACATCTCTGAGCCTCAGTCTCCTTGTTGGTAAAATGGGAGCATGGTGACAAGGCTCCACCCTGGTGAAGGAGCCCGGGACACTGTCACCTGTTCGCAAGCTCCTTACAGTTCCCAGAGGGCAGACTGTGGGTGCCTTGTTAGCTTGTCTGTTTGCAAATAGGAAAGCAATTGTTTTTGGTGGATTTGTACTCAAACAATATGTTTTCAAGATGGTTCGGCATCACAGGTAGCTCTAAAAATGGCAGATTTGGGGCTCTGAAGTGGTCCCTTGGGAGCCTTGGTATTGGATGTTGGCAATTTAAAATAGCATACTTGGTGTGGGATTAAAAAGCAAAAGTTTGACCAGTTCTGTGTAGAATTTGGGTTCTCTTTTCATGCGTGGAATTCGTAGCCCACACCATTTTACTGGCTACGCCACAGTCGTGTTTACTGGTCGGCAAGTTTGTTGGCCCACATTTCACCTGAGGGGTAAACTGAGGCATGGATTTGCCCCCCCCCCCCAGGCTGAAAACAGGACCTGGCATCCTCACTGCCAGTTTCTCCCTTCAGCACACTCTGCTGCTGTATCTGTGGAGGCTGCACAGATAAGCACGGGGAGAATGTCTGCTGGGGACAGGGGACAGATGTGCAAATCGTTGGATGTGCCAGGGTGGCGTGGGGAGAGGGGCATGCCGTTCCACTGCACAGGGGAGAAGCAGGTACCGCTCTTACGAAGGGCAAGGCCATGATGTATCCAGAGCTCAAAAATAAGTGTGATCTGTGACTCAGCAGTTGAATTTTTAGGAACAAATAAAGAGGTGTTCCTTCAAGGATATTTATTGTGTCATTGTTTATAGAAGAAAAAAAAAAGTGGAAACAACCTAACTGCCGACCAGTGGAAGAGCACAGCAGGGACCATAATTCACAGGTAGCTGCAAATTGTGCTCCTGAGGGTCATCTATCCACCTGAATGGTGTCCGCCCCAATATGTGTAATAATAATGGTGATGATGACTCACRGKKTTTTTTTTTTTAATTTTAAAAGTGTGCTTTATTAYAAGAAAATTTTAAAATATAACCAATGATACTAAAATAATATAACTGGCATTTATAGCSTTGGTCCAAGTTCTTTATTAAATAGACTAATAAATGTACCATGAATAGTTATTGATCAGCTTATGCAACAAAACAGATAAATGGAGGGTCTGGGGTTGTGGCTCAGCGGTTGAGCACTTGCCTAGCATGTGTGAGGCACTGGGTTCGATTCTCAGTACCACATAAAAATAAATAAAATAAAAGTCCATTGACAACTAACACACACACACACACACACACACACACACACACACAAGAAATAAATGGAAAAAGTGAATAAAGAATAGTGAATAAAGAATAAAGAGCCAGGCGTGATGGTACACACCTATAATCCCAGTGGCTCTGGAGGCTGAGGCAGGAGGATCTCAAGTTCAAAGCCAGCCTCAGCAAAAGTGAGATGCTGAGCAAACTCAGTGAGACCCTGTCTCTAAATACAATACAAAATAGGGCTGGGGATGTGGCTCAGTGGTTGAATGCCCCTGAGTTCAATCCCT